AACCGGAAACGGGCTCCCCCTGAGGGGCAGCCACCGCCGCCAATGGGAACCTCGGCTGCGGCGGGGAGGCGGGGCTTCCCGCGGGCCTCCGGAGACCCGCCGCGCGCTGAGTGGCGGCCGCAGCGGCCAATCGGAGGTGGGGGGCGGGGGGGTGAGGCTGGAGGTGAAGTTCGGCGCCAGCCGCGGGAGGCGGGGCCGGGGCGGAAGGGGGTGGGGCCGCCTGGTCCCAGCCTCGTTCTGAGGGGGCGGGAAGAGGGCCCCTGGCTCCCCTTAGGGAGCCCCACGAAGTCCCCAGTGCAAAGGCCCAGAAGCTGCGGCTGCTTTTTATTTTAACATCTTTGTCAAGGCCAAACCTGTTCCGCAGTCATTTGGGTGAAACCCCAACAGCCGAGGCCTGAAAAGTGCCTGCGCAGAGCTGGCGGGGTTGTCCATAGCCGCTCTGTCCTCCGTTGACGCCTTTAGGTCCTCTGCTTTTGGCTTGAGGTGTCCACCGTCAGACTTTACTAGATAGATTAATTCATCTGGTGTTGGTATTGGTGCTGCGAATGCCAACCAACGTGAATGCCACAGGCCCCCGGAGGCTGTGGGGGGCTACAGTGATTGCCCGTGGGCGGCGGCAAAAGGGGAGCTCCTGCAGAGGGTGCACGTGCTCTACACGTCGCAATGCCAACAAAGATCCTATTCGTCGTGCGTCCTAATGACGTCCTTACGTTATGGCGTTTGCTTTCCGCCATTAAACGGTGGTCTTCAAAATCAGCTCGACATCACCCTTTGTTCAAAACGCCCAAGCGAAAGATGTCCTTCAGCTCAGGGTGGTCGAAAGAACACGATCGCTGTGCACTCAGTGCAACTCGCCTCTATTCTTGATGTCCCTCGATGGCCATCCTATGGTCAAGTCTGTGCTGCTCTCTCTGTCTTCCCTCCCAGACCATCCGTCTGGGGCTTTGGATACCCCCCACACCCAAGCGAGATTCCTATGTGCAAGCCCTGGCCCTGGTGCGTTCTTTTTGAACCAGTGACCTGCTCTCCTGTCCTGTCTTTGTACTTTTTGTCCCCTGAATTTGGTTGTTCCCGTGCTCTCTAGCTCCCCCAATTAGCGGGGGCTAGTATGTTGTGTGGTGGGCCATGCCCACATTCCTGACGGGCAACAAATAGGCTTACGTGCAAGGTTCGGGTGCCCCCTTTCTCCCTTGATCTTTGCCTCAGCAATGCTGTTTGTGGCTTTTCCCGTGCAAACCGGCTTCAGGAGAAGTTAGGCCAAGTGCATGCGATTCCTTAGGCAGCCGGCGTTTGTCCTTCTGACCAGCTGGTTGAATGGTGTGAGGGAACTCCGAAAAATGCCTAACAGCCTGTGTGATGGTATGATGCTAACTCACAAGCAAGAGGCAGAGCTGGGAATGAGAGGGAGATTTGTGATGTCTACAGACAATTAACCAAGAGCCCAAATTATGCTGGAGGCAGAAACTTTATTTCATTAGCCCTGTGGCAGATGTTAGCAAAGCAAGGAAGACTCAACATGTTCAGTCTCAACTGAAAAAGTGCATCCCGTGTCCTGCCATGCCCCTCCAGGTTGAATTCTTCTACTTGCTGTTGTGTGAATCATTGAAAATAGGGGTGGAGCACCCTTTGAACCATTTTCTGACATATTTGTCAAACCTGCTCTTAAAAACTTCCAATAATGAAGATTCCAAAACCTCCCTAGGTAATCTCTTTCTGTGCTTAACTATCTTTATTCTTAGATTAGACATTTGGGGGGAAAAAAACAACTAAGTCTCCCTTGCCACAGTTTAATTGCATTACTTCTTGTCTTATCCCCAGTGGACATGGGGAAGCATTCTCAACTTCTCTCTTTGTGGGAAAGCTTCTTCCTTTCCTAGGTTTCCTGCTGGTACAGAGGGGCCTTAAGGCTCTGTTTCTTCTTCTCCAGAGATTCAGGCTCAACATTAGGAAAAACATCTCAGTCAGGGTGTCCAGACTGTGGAATAAGCCCCCTCCAGAAGTGGTGCCATCTGGAAATCTTCAAGAGGAGACTGGACGGGCACCTCGCTGGGGTCACCTGACGCCCAGTTATCTTTTCTGCTTGGTGCAGGGAGCTGGACCCGATGATCTTCCGAGGTCCCTTCCAGCCTTACAATTTATGAATCTATGAACCTCTCCCTCCGAGTTGTGACTGATCACTGTGATTGTGGACATTACTTCCATACAAATGACTTCTCATATTCCTTTAACTCCCTATCCTGATGGCTAGTCCTTGACCTCACCCAAGTGTTTCTATTCTGCAAGAAGTGAAATCCTCCTTGGAAAAAAAACGTGTTCTCTTTCCTTTGTCTCAGACTTTGTTGTTATTTTATTAAACATTGCTCCCAAGACAAGAAATCTGAGAGCTGCCCAGGACCCCACGCTTCTCTTTTCCATAGCTCCATTCTCTGTAGCTTATTTGTCAGCTTCTCTGGAATATTATTAGGATTTCTCCTTTCTTTGAATCTACCTCAGCCTAAACCAGGGGTGTCGCACATACAACCTGTGGGTCAGATACGACCCACTGACCTGGGTCATTTAGCCCACGGACTTTTGCCCCAGCTTGGCTGTGGTGGTGGGGCTTCCCATGGCAGCAGCCATTACCCTTGGAAGTACAGCACCAAGATGCCCCCTGGGCAGGAACCTTGCCACCGCAGCCACAGCCAGGCCAAATGGCCTGGCTCAGTGGACTCTGGCCATGATGGCAGAGCTTCTGACCATGCTGCTGCCGGACCTGCTTGTGCTTGGGCTCTCACCAGAGCACCGGTTGCCCCACTGCCTTGACCAGACCCCTGGCTCTGGCCATGGTAGCAGGGCTTTTCCCTGTGGTGTTGCTGGAGCTGCCAGCACTCTGGCTCTCACTGGGATGTGGGCTGTTCCCGTGGGATCCTACGGTGCTGCTCGGGTTGCCAGCACCCAGGTCTCACTGGGGCACTGACTGCTGCCATGGGAAGCCCCACCACTGCAGCTAGAGCTCTGGCCACTGGGGCTGCGGTGAAGGGGTTTCTACCCACAGTGCTGCTCAGGTTGCCAGCACTCCAGCTGTCACCAGGGCTCTGCCTGTCACCACAGGAAACCCAGCAACCATGGCTGCGATCACAGGAAGCCACAGCACCAGTGTCAGAGCTTCTGCCCGTTGAACCGCTGGGGCTGCTGGCTCAAGTATCAGGATGTGGCCCGCAGGCACCTGAGAAGGAGGGAATGTGGTCCTCCATCCAATATGTGTTTGACATTGCTGGCCTAAAGCTTTTACCCACCTTTGCTTTTTCCTTTCTTCTTGTTACAGCTTTTTTTCATTTGTTTTTACACTTCAAATTACTACTCAAACTTCAGAGAGTACTATGCCCAGTAGCCAAGCTGCTTTTCTCCTTTATGGTGTAGGTTTATATTCATCTCAGCCTTCATTGCCTGTATTAGTTTGAATCAGAGTTGCCCTTCTGGCTGTTAATTGTTTGATGGGTCCAACACTCACTGCAAATGAGAACCTTTCTTCTCTGGCCAAATCTACCCTGACATCAGATGAACACAGCTAACTGGCGCTTTCTATGTATGATCTCTGGCACCAAGTTTTTGAAGTTGTTCCTATGCTATAGCCCAGGTTCATCTATCCAGGGGTCAACACAGAACCAAGCCGGCTCAACTTGTGGGTTCTGACAGTACTGAACTAGCTATTAACTCCAGTTGTTAACTCTTATATCCCTCAAAGTGTTAAATACGTTGCTTATTCCTCTTGCTCAAATCTACCCACTTTTTGACTTGCTCAGCAATGCCCCCTCCCTCTGTCTCTCTTCTGTTTAAAAAAATAAAGCACTTTTCTGCAGTTCATTCATAGATTTGGACAGTGGGCTCTTACCTATGAATGCTCATGCTTCTCTGAACCAGTTAGTAAAGTGCTACCCTGCCTTTTCCTAGTAGTCTGAGTAGGGATGTAGTCTGCACAACATCGCTTTATCTGAAGTGAGTCCTAAGAAAATGTTAGATTAATGGGCAGTGGGATTTTGGAAACATTCAGAGGCTCTGCTCCTGTACATCTCAGGTGTATCTGCTTCAGAGTCAGGTCTGGAGTGACAAATTGCATCAGTGTAGTAATGCATTATGATGGTGTTTGAAAATAGATTCATACCAGAATGTGCAGGCTACCGTCAGGAACATGCACAGCAGGGTCAGCTTTTGCAAAAGATACTTCCCTCTTAAAGTATTCCAACAATTAATTATGCAAAAATGCTACCTCTTTATTCCCCTGGCCCAGCCTGGCCCAGATTATGTTACATCTCAGATGCATATTTTTTGCTTGTAATAGTTAAATTGTTATTCCTGTTAGCTCTACAGAATTAATAAAGACATGACTTGGTTTATTTTAAAACATATTATGTAACACATGTTAATTAGCAGGTTACAATACCAATGCATACAAAGCAAGTTGTACTTTTAACATGCCTAAACTGGTGGATATGAAACTTAGATGCCTCCTAAATTTACCTTGATTAGCTAACAACTTAATAGTATAGCTGTTTTATCTACACTAGGTTTCAAGAGACATTAATTCATGTTAGCCAAAACATGTTCGAAATATACCTTTTCCCCTAGTGTAGACGTGGATATTTTCTTGTGAACTGAGCACATTTGAACTGAGTCAAGGAATCCTATGATGCCACTTTTACAGTCATTTCTCAGACTAGAATTACATGTTAGAGAAAACCTTAATAAAAGGTGAGTCTTTTGGGGGGAATATTCATGGTGCAGTTATGAATTCTGTGCAACTGCATTAATATAATACTAGCTAAAAATCTTGCTTGTTACTAAAAACTTTAAATCAGGAAAATACAAGAATATTTTGATAACCATAGCTCTGAGTGAGGTATGAGAAGCCCTTCTCTCCAGGGCCCTGATCCAAACTTCATTGAAATTAACTTAATCATCTTTTCTTTTACTTCCGGGAGATTTTGATCGGGCCTCTTGTAAGGAGTGGGTAAAAGGAAAGGCAATGACATACCAAGCAATCCTTAAATGGGCTCAACCCAAAAAAAGTAAATGTGCCAGAAGAAAAAGAGGTGTCTCTTAAGAAGAGGTAGAGTGATCTGACATCAGGTGACAAGTGATATAATGTTTACATTATGGAAATGGCAAAATGGGCTGAGGAAGAAAAAGATAAATAAAAGCCTGTTAGTTATATGAAAGATAAGTAACAAGCAACCCAAATTATTTGTGTAAAATGTCTAACATAATACCAGCTTTACAGTGGGAACACAGTGTTTTCCCTGCAGTTTTATCTAAAAGGGCATTGTCTACAGGTCCACAATTTGCTTTTTATTCCAGTGTAATTACTGGGCAGAGTCTCCCCTTTCCCACAACAGAAGCTGCAGAGCCTGAGGTTCAGTCTCAAAGCAGTATCTTAGCTGTGCTTCTGCTGCACCACACGATTGCAGGAACAAAATGATTTATGACCAGGGACAAGGGGGGAATGCAAAATATAAAGAAAATGGTGGGGATTTTGCAGATATTTTCTGCAGATTTTGTGGACATTTCTTCTGACTAATGGAAATGGTGTCTACTGTGCTTTTGAGGTGCATTCACTCTCAGTACCATAGATTAGCAAAATATATAGCTAGGATGAATTGAAAATCCAGCAATATAATTTAAGGGTTTGAACCACTGGTCACCACTGCAGTATACGAGTACCAGTCCCGTAAGGTAGATGGGGAAGAGCAAATTCCAG